CCTCAACACAGCTCAAATGCTTGATACTGAGCAGCAAAGGCTTGTTGCAGAGGGATGGCTGCAGCGTGTTGCTGTTTAGGGTGAAGTAGAAGAGTGTGGGAAACAGGACCTTCTTGTACATGGTTGGGGTGAGTGAAATTCGAAACAGCCTTAACAAGTGAGCAGTTTTGGGAACTTATCTGTCAGATAGATCTGTTCGGAAAAATGCACAATGACATCTGTTCCAGGTGAATCAGCTCTGTATTGCACAGCACTGCAAGGGACTGGAAATGAGCTAAGTGCCCAGGCATAGGGGATTCAAGTGATGTCATTATTGATCTGCCCAGTGGAATGCTATGTGTCCCAAAAAAAGGGAAAAAAAATCGAGAAACTTTTTCTTTTTTTTAAGATTTATTTATTTATTTATTTATTTATTTATTTATTTATTTATTTATTTATTTATTCATGAGACACACACAGAAAAAGAGAGAGAGAGAGAGAGGCAGAGACACAGGCAGAGGGAGAAGCAGGCTCTATGCAGGGAGCCTGATGCGGGATTCAATCCTGGGACTCCAGGATCATGCCCTGAACCAAAGGTAGACACTCAACCACTGAGCCACCCAGGCGTCCCAATGAAGAAACTTTCTGTGTAAAAATATGGAAAGGCTCCAAGTGATAACACGAAGGGGGGGGGGAGAAGGCAAGGTGGCAAACAGCCTGTAACCTGTTCTCTCTGAGCTTATCAGTAGGTTCTGCCTGGAAGAAGAGAGACTAATCTAGCAACATTGTCTGACTTCCAGAACTGAAACTTACTGCACTCTATCCGTTTGTACTTCTTGAATTTGAAACCATGTGAATGTGTTCCATACTCAAAAAAAAAAAAAAAAAAGTAAAGGAACAAGAAATAAAATGGGGGGGGGTAATAAAAATAAATATAACCAAAATAAGTAATAACTTAGTCTTGTAAGTGCTTAATGAATACAAACCCATTTGTTTCTCCTTCCTTTCTGGAATGGGTCACATTGTTCTTCCATTTTATTTTTTTTATTTTTATTTTTTTGTTCTTCCATTTTAAAGTGAGGTTACTAAAACATTGCAAAACTGAGTCTTTGCCTTTCACAAAGAGATGGGAGAAATGACAGAGATGAAGAGCATGATTTTAAAAAGCACCCGGTCAATAATACTACTTAAAAAAACATTTTATTTATTTATTTGAGAGAGAGAGCATGAGTGATGGAGAAGAGGAAGATGACCAGAGGGAGAAGCAGTCTCCCTGCTTAACAAGGAGCCCAGGATCATGATCTGAGCCAAAGGCAGACACCTAACGGACTGAGCCACCCAGGTGCCCCAATAATACCACTTTTTAAAGGATATATACATATGAGTGAAAAATCTAAAAATACCCATGGAAACAATAAGCATCACGTTCAGGGTAGGAGTTACCTTTTAGCAGAGAGAAGCAGTCAGATCCTAGAGGAGCCTACAGTGAGTAAGGTATACCTCCTAATGTTTCAAAGCTGATAGTATATGTGTGTGTGAGCATGTTGCATTCATGTTGGTAGCATTAAGTACATTCTCAATGTCATGCAACCATCCCACTATCTTGTTTCAGAACTTTTTTGTCTCCCCAACAGAAATCTAGATTCATTAAGCTGTCACTCCCCATTTCCTTTTCCTCCCAGCCCCTGGCAAGCTTTATCTCTCTATGGCTTCACCTACCGTGGACATTTTGTATCAATTGAGTCATAAAATATGTCATCTCTTATGACTAGCTTCTTTCACTTAGCATGTTTTTGAGATTCATCTACTTGTGGCATGTATTGGTAGGTCATTCCTTTTGATGGTTGAATAATATTCCACTGTATCGGTATACCGCATTTGTTTGTCCATTCATTTGTTCATGGACATTTGGGTGGTTGCTATCTTTTGGCTGTTGTGAATAGTGAGTGTTCATGTATACATTTTTGTTTTAACGGTTGTTTTCAATTCTGAGTCTATACGGGGGGGGGGTTATTTCATTATGTATATTTTAAAGGCTTAACGTTTTTTCCAGAGAAAGAAAGAAAGAAAGAAAGAGAAAGAAAGAAAGAAAGAAAGAAAGAAAGAAAGAAAGAAAGAAAGAAAGAAAGAAAGAAAGAAAAAGAAAAAGAAAGATTGATTCAGGAATGGAATGGTGGGAAATAGAATTTCAAGCAGAGGGAACAGCATATGGGGGTGGGGTGGGAATGGAGATCTTGTCTTGGGGGAAACTCCAGGCCTTGGATTGTGGTGGAGAGAAGCCAGGAGCTGCACAAGCCACTATGTCGGCCTCTTAGTCCAGGCTGAACGCTGGACGCATTTCTAGTGCACTGAGAAGCTATTGAAAAGGTTTTAAGCTGCGGAGTCATATGATCCGATTAGTGTTTTAGAGAAATTCCTGTGAGACCCGCGTGGAGGCCCGCCGGATGCAGGGGAGACCCAGGCTGGGAGCAGGGAGGAGGCGGGGCGCGGGCCCAGGTGAGAGAGGGGCCTGGGTAGTGCTGGCCTCGGAGGGGCAGCAGGCTCCCGGGCAGGGGGCGGGACCGAGCACTGATTGGCTCAGGACTGCACTCCTGGGTGCCCGTCCCCCTGCAACTGCCTCCTCATTGGCTCTCCTGTTTCCAGCCCCACTCCCACCGGCCAGTCTCCCGCCCCCAGAAATCACATCCTGTGAACCCTGCGTGGCTTCCCAACCCTTCCTCCCGAGTTCCTCACCCCCTGCCTGTAAGGCTGGGCAGGTCTGGCCCCTGGAGCCGCCCTCAACTGATTGCTACCTCTCTCCCGCTTCACTCTGCTGCAGCCACACCACCCTCTTTGCGGACTCAGGGCCTTTGTTTTTGTGTTTGTTTTTTTAAAGATTTTGTTTCTTTATTTATGAGAGCCAGAAAGAGAAAGAGGCAGAGACACAGGCAGAGGGAGAAGCAGGCTCCATGCAGGGAGCAGGACCTGGGACTCAATCCGGGGTCTCCAGGATCAGGCCCTGGGCTGAAGGCGGCGCTAAACCGCTGAGCCACCTGGGCTGACTCAGGGCCTTTGAACGTGCTGTTCCCCCTGTCTGGAATGCCCTTCCCCTAGATTTCCACACTTTACCTTACTCCCCTCATTTCTATCATATGTCCTCAGAGACACCTCCTGTCCATCGTAGCTAAAAACAGCTCTCCTGTCACCCCTATCATCCTTACTCTGCCTTAATTTTCAATTTGTATTTAGCACAAACAAGCATCAGGTGGTTCGTGGATTACCCACTGAGGAATATAATAAAATCCCTGAGGGCAGGGGTCTGCTTTGCCAGTTTGCTTAACTGCTCATCCATCAGTGCCCAGCTGCGCCTAGAAAAGTGGATGAGCCAGGAGGGGTGAAGTTGGGGCTTCATGAGAGGGGGATGCCCCTGAAGGGAGAAGACTGAGGTGATGGATACATGCGGAGTTCAGCAGAGAGCGCAGGTCCCATCTCCTCCAGCAGATGCAAGGGGAGAGGGGAGTCGTCAGCTCCAGCCCAGGAATTGGCACTCACTCCCAGAGTAAAATCCTCCCCCACCCCTTCTGAGCCTCAATTAGCACATCTATAAAATGGGGCCACAGAGAGAGGAGTAGAGTACAAGGTCCAGCCCTTCTGCCAGTCCCTTGGGAGACGGACAGGAAATGGTTGAGTCCTTGTCTCTATTGTCTCAGAAAAGATTGAGTTGGAGGTGAGGTGGGTGGAGCCTCAGCCTCCAGAGGTCCCAATTCATTAATCCCTAGCCTGCTACCATCTCCACGACAACCCTGGCTCCTTTCCAGGCCCTCAAGGCTCCAGGCAGAGCAGGTCTTAAAGTGAGCCGGTCTTGTCCCTGGGGCAGTGCCTGAATGGAAGGGGGCGAGTCTCATTTCTCCATCACAGTTTTTTTATTTTTTATTTTTGCCCCAGGGGATGAGTCTGGTTCCTGGTTCCTGGGTGGGAGAGTGGAGAGGAACTATCTTTAAGGTTGGGTATCCCCAGGAGCTGACCTGGAGCCTTCAAACGGGCAACTGTGGATCTCCAGGCAAAAATGTCTTCTTGTTTTCTCTCTCTCCCCAAATATGCCTCCCTCTAAGTTTTCTCGTTGTGAAATATAAGACACATAGACTAAAAGAGCATGATACAGATGTTCGGCCAACAAATAATTATCAGTAGATCACCAGATTAAGAAACAGAATGTTAGCAGCCACGCCGGAGTCCATAGAAGATTTGGCATATCCCGTTCCTAGCCTAACCCATCCAACTCCACTGTTCTTTTTATTTCTATTTATTTATTTATTTATTTATTTATTTATTTATTTATTTATTTATTTATGATAGTCACACACAGAGAGAGAGGCAGAGACACAGGCAGAGGGAGAAGCAGGCTCCATGCACCGGGAGCCCGATGTGGGACTCGATCCCGGGTCTCCAGGATCGTGCCCTGGGCCAAAGGCAGGCGCCAAACTGATGTGCCATCCAGGGATCCCCCCCACTGTTCTTTTATGGGAGAGTAATTTTCTTGCTTTTCTAGATGGTTCACTACCCAATACAGCCCATAATAATAAACAATATTATAGTTTAGTTTTGCTTCCTTTTGAACATTATATAAATGGGATCATACTCATGTATCTGGCTTCGTGCACTGGGCTGCTTTACAACTTTCATTTGTGTAATTGTGTGTATCTCCATTCCTTTATATCATTGCTGTATTGTATTCCATAGCATAATATACCACCATTTATTTATCTGCTATATTATTATTTTTTTAAGATTTATTTATTTATTTATTCATGAGAGACAGAGAGAGAGGCAGAGACGCAGGCAGAGGGAGAAGCAGGCTCCATGCAGGGAGCCTGATGTGGGACTCGATCCTTGGTCTCCAGGATCACGCCCTGGGCCCAAGGCAGGCGCTAAACTGCCGAGCCATCCAGGGATCCCCTATCTGCTATATTATTGATGGATATCTTAGTCTGCTGTGGCTGCTGTAACAAAATACCATAGACTGGGTGGCTTATAGACAACAGAAATTTATTGCTCCCAGTTCTGGAGGCTGGCAGTCCAAGATCAAGGCACCAGCATGCTTGCCTTCTGGGGGAGGCCCTCTTCTGGGTTTATGGCCAGTGCATTCTTGCTGTGTTCTCACGTGGTGGAAAGTGCTAGGGATCTCTCTGGGGCCTTTTAAGTTTGGGCATTGATCCCAAGCATTAGGACTCCACCCTCAGGCCTTAAGCACCTCCCAAAAGCTCCTTCTCCAAATACTGTCACATTGGGCCTTAGGATTTCAACATAGAGATTTTGATGGAACATAGACATTCAGACCATAGCAAAGACATATCAGCTGTTCAGAGTTTGAGGCTGTACCTGTCACTTCTGGTAATGTTTTAAATGTGTCTCCCAGTGCAGGTGAAGGAAATTCTTTGGGGTTTGTGCCTAGCAGTGGGATCACTGTTATCAAAGGATATGCACATATTCAGCCTTATTAATCGATGCCAATCCCCCAGGCATCTTAAGTTTAAGGACCTCAAAATGGGATTCTTGATCCCCCTAAGCCCCTATCCAAACTTGTTCTTCCCCTTTTCTGGCCTTGATACAAAGTGTTACCACCCAACCAGTCCCTCCTCATTCCTCCCTTTCAGTTACACACACACATTCCACCTACAGAATTCATCTTGAATCCATCCGTTTCTCTTCACCACTCTGGTCTAGGCCCCTACTGATGCATTTCTCCTGCTGCACTGAGGTAGCCTCCTGCTGTCTCCACTTCCTTCTCCACTCAGCAGCCAGAAGGAACTTTGTAAAGTGCAAGAGGGGTCACATGCCTCCATGTTAAAATCTTGTGTCCCAGTGCTGGAGAGCACAGCCAAATGCCTGTCTTTGCCCACCATGCTCTGCAGGGCCTGACCCCTCCACCTCTGTTCATCCCTCCCTCCCTCTCCTGTGGCTGTCCAGGCATCCTTCTGGTTTCAGATCAAATGCCACCTCTGTAGAGACGTCCACCGGACACATGAACAAGACAACATAGTCACGGAGTCACTCACTTTCTTAACATCTTTCCTCCCTTCCTTCAGCATGCTCAGAAACACTCGAAAAGACTTTCATTTCTTGGATTACTTTTCTCCACCCCACTACCCAAACACTAAAATATAAACCGCATAAGTTCTTTTCTTTGCTGTTGGATCACCCAAGAGGATGTCTGGCACAGAACAGATACTCAGGTACTCAGTACAGGAATGTGATCTAGTGCCAGAAGACAGGAGTCACTGACTCCTTCCCTGATGGGTGAATCCTACCCTTGATGTTGGATACAGTGTTGGATAATCCTATCGTATCAAGGGGGTCTACATTTGGCCACCTGGAGGCAGTCTAAGATATAAGGTCTCTTCTTAGGGGTAGGACTTTTAAGACCATTTGGATTTTAGGGGGGCATGTCTTATGGGATTGATGATTTCTAAAGGCCATGTCTGGTTCTACAGAGCAAGTTCAGTCCATTGGAGGTGGATCTTGTGTTTTAAGGGATGGAGTTCCATTTAGATGAAACTTAAGCCATTTCTGTTTTAATGGTCTTGCACTATCTAAGAGACTCATTTGTCAGAAGGGAGGGATGGAGGAAAGATCTGTCTCTACTTAGGGAGCTCATCGTAAATCAGGGACAGAAATTCCCACCTCTCTGGAGCCAAGGATCAGAAAATGAGACAGCAATGACTGACAGGACAAGGTTTATTGGGATCCTGGAGACATTAGGGAATGGGATGAGGGGCAAGGTTGAGGCTCACAGGAGGAACCCCGTAGCCAAACCCCCCTTCCCCTTGGGGTTAAGAGGAACACAGAGACAGACAAACCAACAGAGATGAAAAGACAGGTGCTACAACAGAGTGGGAGGAAAACCCCATGTCCACCACCTCCCACTCAGATGAGTTCACAGGATGGGGAATGATGTGGACTGGCCCATACTCTAGAGGAAGGGAGGAGTGTCTGCCCTATTTGCCTAAGGAGAGCGGGGTACAGGCCACAATCTGGACCAGCCCATTCCAGTGGACAGGGGTATGTATCTGATTCAGTTCATTCTACTGGGCGGGAAGGATTTCAAACCAGCCTATTCTAGTGTTTGGGATGGGGAAATTCATTAGGGTTGATCCATTGTGCAGTAGGGGAGGGAGACCTAATTGGGGACAGGGGTTGAGGGCAGGGGGCATCTACCCTGGTCCTCTTTCAGCATAAGGAATGAAATGGGAGTGGGGGAAAGGCAGATTCCGGCTATATCCTTTGGGGGGGGGGCACCAGTGACTGGTGGGTAGCATTTGGGAGATCTAGGGAAATTTGGGGACATGGTCCCCCCACATTCTCCAGATCAAGGTCCTTGGGAATGATGGCTCTTGGGGAGAGGGGCACTCTTCCTTTGGGGGAAGGATGCCCATCTCTTATTAGTAGGGTCCTCAAGATGAGAAATACTTGTAGAGACCCATTTCTCATTGCTAGCCCCCCCTAGCTTGGGGAGGCCTGTTGATTTGGGGGTGCCCAGCATTTACTCCAGGGGTGTCAAGCTCAGGAGTTTCTTCTGAGATCCTGGACTCTGGAGCTGTGGAGTCTCTCCCTGTTCATTTGCTGCCCCTAGCTCAGGGGTCTGCGTGGGTGTCTGGTGGCCCCGTGTTAACAGCTGGGGTCGGCTGGGGTCGCTCACCACAGGCCCCTGCGTCCAGCCCCTAGGGAGGGGCTGTCAGGCGGAGGCGCGGCCTGGCGGGGTCAGTCCATGCCCCGGTGCAGCTTCAGGTGCCGCGAGAGGTTGCTGAGTGTGATAAAGCCCTTGCCGCAGATGTGGCAGGGGAAGGGCCGCTCGGTGCCGTGCAGCAGCCGGTGGCGCTTGAGGTAGCACTCGTGGCGGAAGAACTTGCCGCACTCCAGGCACGGGAACGGCTTCTCACCCGTATGCACGAGCACGTGCCGCTCCAAGTCGCGCGGTGAGCGGAACAGCTTCTCGCACTCGGAGCAGCCAAAGATCTTCTTGCCCCGGCCGGAGCCGGATGCGGCCTCCCCGGGACCGGGATCCCCCTCGGGGGCCACCGCGGCTGCCTCTGCGCCGCCACCCTCGCCGTGGCTGGCCCGCCGGTGCTCCTCCAGGGCCGCTAGGGCCGCATACAGGGCCCCACAGTGGCCGCAGCCGTACGTGGCGGGGCCCGAGTGGGCCTCCAGGTGGCTGGCTAGCGCCGCAGCTGATGCGAAGAAGGTCCCGCAGTCGCACTGGTATAGGGTGTCTTCCGAAGCCTCGGCTGCAGCCGCCGGGGCAGGGGCCTCCCCACCGCCTTCGGGGAGCAGCCCCCCAAGCTCAGGCACGCCACCCCCAGTGCTGCCCAGGAGCAGCCCGCCGTCCCAGGCTGGTTGCGCAGGGCCCGCCTCCGCAGGGCCGCCACTCTCGCCCACCAGGTCGGGCCCAGCGCTGGCCCCCGAGGCCCAGGCCTGCACAGGGGGCGCGCTGGGGCCCTGCAGGTCGTGCGTCAGCTTGTGCCGCTCCAGCAGTGCGGGGGCGTTGAAGTCGCGCTCGCAGCGCGGGCACTTGAAGGGCTTTACGTCGGTGTGTGCGGCCCAGTGGGCCGCCAGCTCGCGGCCATGGTCAAAGCGCCGCGCACAGGCACCACATGCAAATGGGGGCAGTGAGGCGGCGGCGGCAGCAGCGGCCTCCGCCAGCCCCCAGCTGCCCGGGCCCGCGCCCGCCCCCTCTGGACCCTCTCCGCCCCCGGCCCCTGAGCCCCGGCACACAGAGCAGGGCCCCACATTGCAGCAGACGGAGCAGGGCGCGCTCAAGGCTGGCAGGCCTGGACCGGTTTGTAGCGGGGACGGGAGCACCCCGCGGTGCTGGCGCTTGAGATGGCGGCCCAGGCTGGAGCGTGAGGAGAAGCGGAGCTCGCAGACCAGGCAGCAGTAGGGCTTCTCACCAGTGTGTACGACCTGGGAGGACAGGAGAAAGAGCATAGCATCAGGTCAGATTCCAGCACTTCCAGAGAGATGCGGCCCAAGCTCCCTGCTGCAGCTACAAAGCCCCATATAGCTCCAATCCTCTCACTTGTCTTCTATAAATTGGGTCGTGTTGGCATTCTTTTGGTCCCTTCATTCTCAGGACCTTTGCACATGCTGGTCCTTAAGACTGGAAGACTCTTCCTCCCATTCTTCCAGGTTAACTTCTATTCCTTTTCAACAAGCCCACCCAGGAGATTGGGACTCCCTGTTAGAGTGGCCAAGTCCTAGGGCTCTGAGCACTAACAAACCTGGGTTCAAACCCCAGCTCTGCCTTCCACTCTCAGTGAAAACTGGACAAGTAAACATCATCTCTGGGACTCTACTCTTCTCCTCTGTGATATGTGCTACCTACCTCACAGGGTTTTTGTGACAGGATAAAATCAACACTAAAAAATGACTTAATTCCTAGAAATTAGAATTATCGTTGACAAACTTTCCAATGTCCTACTGGTGTCCTCTACAGCAGTGGATGTTAGGGAAAGGTAGAGAGGAACATTTATAATTCCCTGGGCTGGGAGGTGGCTTTTTAAGATAAATGCCCAAACTTCTAGAGCAAAAACTGTCCAAAAGAACTTTCTGAAATGGGGATCCCTGGGTGGCTCAGCGGTTTAGCGCCTGCCTTTGGCCCAGGGCGTGATCCTGGGGTCCCGAGATCGAGTCCTGCGTCGGGCTCCCGGCATGGAGCCTGCTTCTCCCTCTTCCTGTCTCTCTGCCTCTCTCTGTGTTTATCATGAATAAATAAATAAATAAATCTTAAAAAAAAAAAAAAAAGAACTTTCTGAAATGATGGAAACATTCTATATTTGCCACTGACCAACGAGGCAGCCATGAGTGACATGTGGCTACTGGCACTTGTCATGTGGCCAATGTATGGTGCAAGACTGTGCTTTACTGATATTGGCCTTTGTGGTTTATTTAAAAGTCTGGGAGTAGAAGAGGGAGATTTGGAGCGACGAGTCCTTTTGATTGGTAGTTCCTGCCTGGAGAACTGTAAGGCTAAGTGAGAAAGTACAGTGTTCTCTGCTGTCCAGTGAGGAGCCCTGTGACTCCCATGGTGGCCAGCCTGTGGGACTCACCTGGTGGTGCAGAAGGCCGGTGGAGTCTCGGAACCCTTTAGGGCAGGCAGAGCAGCGGTAGGGCCGTTCGCCGGTGTGCGAACGTAGGTGGTTGGCCAGGTTGAAGCTGTGTTTGAAGCCCTTGCCACAGCGTGGACATGCGTGGGGTTTGAGTGCAGTGTGCCGGGCGAAGTGGCGCCGAAGGTCCGAGCGGTAGCGGAAGCTCTTCCCACACTCACTGCAGTGAAATGGGACCCGGGGAGCGGCAGCAGGAGGTGCTGGGGCCGGGGCCGGGGCAGGGACCGGGGGCACTGGCAGTGGGGCATCATCCATGGTGGCGTGGTGCGAGGGCAGTGGCAAGTGGAGGCTATCTCTGGAGCAAGGGGGAGACACGGAGGGCAAGTGAGGTAGTCAGCTCCCCACGAGCCCTCTCCATCAGGCTCCCTGGACTCACACACCCACCCTTTTCCCCCTGGGAACCCTTCCCACTTCCCTCCAAGCCACACTCACCGTCCCTTAAGCCCCTCCCACTCCCCTACAAACCCTCCTCCCACACCTCTGCCGATCTTTCCCATGCTGGCCAGATGGTTTCCACCCTACTGGACGGTTTTTAAGCCTCTCACTTTCTTTTCCAATGGGCTCCCCACTCCTCTCTAAACTCCATCCACTGTTGGTAAGCCGTGCCCACTCCAATATAAACTCCGCCCACTGTTGGTAAGCCACGCCTACTCCCAGTCAGGTACCACCTAGTCTTCCCAAGGTCCCCACACAGTTTCCAAAGCCTCTTGTATTCCTAGATAAGACCCTTCCCCTCTGAAAGGCCCTCCCACTCTTCTTCATGAGTGAAAGTCATCTTCAGACAAAGAGTCACATTCCTAGCGAATGAGAGGACAAAGGTGTGGGGGTCCTGGAACCTCCAGTGAGACCAAGTAAAACTCGGGCCATCTGCAGCATAGGGATAGCAGGAGTACCTACCTCATGCAGTGGAGGTGAGCATTAGGCAAAACTGGCAATGCATACTGGGAGCTTACGTACGTAGGCAGGGGCGCAACGAGTGCTCAGCAGGTAAGCTGTTCTGATTAGGACAGTCTGCTAAGTTCCTCTGAGTTTCCCAAGTCCCACCATGCATTCTCCGCTAAGGTCCGCCTCCAAAGCTGCATTCAGTCTTTCCCTGAACTCTGACCTGTGAGGAAGCCCGGTCCTCTGCAAGACCCCTCCCCTCCACCTCCCTTTCTCAGCCCTCTACTGGGAGCGCCTCCCCACCCCTCTAAGTCACCGCACTCCCGTTCCGGAGACTTGTTAATTCCACCAGGACTAGCCAAATCACACACCTCAGTCCCATCACCTCCCCGTGCGCACTCCCAGACGAACGATCCCCCTTCTGCTCTAAGCTGTGCCCGCCTTTGCCCTGAGCTCGGTTTCTCCACTCAGCCCCAGGTAGGTCCCGTCTATCTTTCAAGCTCGGCCCATTTCCATCCAAAGCCACGCCCACTCTGGAAGCTCCTCCCTGCGGTTGCTCCGCCCCCGCCGCCACGAAGCCCCGCCTCCTTCCCCACCCAGTAGCCTGCAGGGCTGCCCACCCCCCCCCACGTCGGCCCTGGGACCGAGGCCCCGAGTACCGGCCTTTTGTGCCCCTCCCCCCTGCCCCTAAAAGGTGCGGCCCCGGGCGCCCGGGGCACGTGCAGCCCAGGCGGGACCCGCAGCGGGGCGGGCCCACCTCGCTCGTTCGGAGCGGGGGTTCTGGAGCCCTGGGGCGGGCCCATGGGGCCGGGAAAGTCAGTCGGCTTTTCTCTTTAATTACTTACACCTCCCTCTGGGCGCCGACATTTTGGGCAGCGGGGGCAGCGTCACTTCCACCTGGGGGCCCCTCGACTTCCGCCTCGGCTGCCTTCTCCCCCACACTCCTCCTTTCTCCCGCCCCCTTGGCTTCCCCCTCTCCCCCGCCCTTCTCTGCTTCCCGTGCCTTCCCCTAGCCCTGGAAGTTGTAGAAGCCAGGGCGCCGCCATCTTGGGTGAGGGCAGGGTGGGGGCGGGGCCTGGGGCTATTGCGCCCTGCAGACTAAGGGCAGCCAGTTCTCTGCGCTGCCTCTTCGTGCCTGTCCTGACGGGTGTTAACGTGGATGAGAGCAGGCTTGATTCTCTTTTCGCAGCCCCACGCTCCTCCTAGTGGAGTTGCATCAGGAGAACGGAAAAATCGAAGTTCGGCGACTGTGGTAGCGCTCAGAGTAAAGAGCAGGCTCCATCTTGTCTGCGCTCCTGGGCACTTTGAAGCCTACCAGGCGCCATGTTAATTATGGGAGCTAGCAGCCATTTTCCCGCTTCTCATCCCTGCGGTACCTTTGATTGGGTCACCCTGCTGGGTGCTTTGTGAGAGGACAGATTTTCCTACAAGGTTGGGAATGTGTTGGTGGGGTTATTTCCCGCTCGGGGCCGGTGAGGGCCACGGGCGCGCAGGCGCGTTTTCCCTGCGAGGATGTAAGCGGTTCTTAGGACCCAGCGCGTCCTCTTTGTTTCCCGCGGGCGCAGGCCCGACGGAGAGGGTATAGCGGAGGGAGGAGGAGGAGGGAGGGGGCGGGGCTGTCCCCGCGCGCGCCGCCGAGGGGCAGGGCCCCCTGGCCCCCGCCCTTTCCCACGCACCGGCCCCGTCGCCCCCGCGCGCGCACACTCGCGAGCCCAGGCGACATGCAAATGAGGTACCCGAGAGGCGGGGGTCCGGGCGGGGAGAGGGGAGCGGAGGGAGGGGAGGCCTGGGGCCGCGCGCTCCTGGAGCGCGCCCCACACCTGCCTCTGCGCCCGCGCCCGCCGCCGCGCGCGCGCGTGTCGACCTCGCGCCCCGCGGAGGCGGCCCGGGCGCGCGCGCGCAGACCCCCTTCCTGGCGGCCCTCGCCGTCCGCGGCCCGCGAGCCGCTCATTGGCCGCCGCCCCCGCAGGGCCCGCCCCGCGCGCTCGGGCCGGCGGGCGCGCGCTTGAACGGGGGCAACGGAGGGGCCAGGGGCCAGGGCATGATTCCAGGGACCTGGGTTCTAGTCCAGACTTTCTCGCCCAAGCGAATCTTGTGATCGTGGAGAAGTGCTGGCCGCTCTCTCGTCTCCCGTGTGCGTGCCCTGTCCAAGGGGAGCAGTGGCACCTGCAGCCCCGCTACTAACTGCACCTTTGCTTTCCTCCCTTTCTCCTGTGTGACATCTTAGTCTCCTGGTCCCAGGCTCTGGGATCGGAGGTGCTGGTTCCCGGTGGTGGTGATGGTGGTGGTGGTGGTGGTGGTGGTGGTGGTTTGTAGAGTGCTTCGTATCACCAACTGACAACACTGCTATGTGCACTTTACAGAGGTGGAAACTGGCTCAGAGAAGCAGTCACTTGTTAGTTAGCGGCAGACCTCGAGACTAGCACGAGTGTAAGGGACTCCTTCAGGTCCCCTTGTCTTCTGGATTCATGTCTTCTCACTCCCAAGACCGTTGGGGTCCTTGAGATCTGCTTCGGGTCTTGGTCCTGCTACTTATTGGCAGGGAGGGCTTGGACAACTGACTTGGCTTTCCTGTGCCTCCGTTACCCCAGTTGCAAAATGGGGTGATGTGCCATTATACAGAGAGTTGATGTGAGGCTGCCACTCACCCAGATAACACAGGTTGATATATCACTTCTGCACTGAGCACTTTATGTGTATTATCCAAATGACATGTCTGTGAATAGGTGGAGCTATTCATCCTGTTTTGCGAAAGGCTTAACTGAGGCTCAGAGAAACGAGCACTTTGCCCCAGACCACACACAGAGAGTAAGTGACAGACCTCGAAATTGAACTCAGAACCTCTGACTTGGGAACCCAGACTCTTAAGAGTTCAATTTCTTCATCCACGACTCAGGGCCAAACATCTCCTGGGACCAGTCCCTTTCTTCTAGTCCTAAACTCCCACTCCTTCCACTTGGTCAGTCGGGACAAAACATTTCTGGGCCTCCATGGCTCAGGCATGATGGGCTCTTGTTTTGAGGATAGAAATACCAGCCCTTACCCTTAGTTGGATCTATCCTATCTTCCCATGAAGATTTTTCTTTATTTCAGTTGAAGTTGACCCTAAACTTCCAGGAGAGGGGTTAGGGAGGCTTAGGGGATGCCTGTGTGGCTCAGTTCAATGTCTGCTCACCAACTGTTACAGAATACCTTGTTGTTTTACCCACCGTGTGGCTATAACTGTCCAGGTGAATGTCGGCCATGCCCAGGTCAAGAGACTCGGACCAAGGGATGGGCGAGGTGTTGGGGGACAAGGGATGCTCCAGACCCTCCCTGCACTGACGGCTGCCCCCTCTCTCCTCTTAGCCCGGCTCCAGTGCCCAGACCCAAGTCCCCCACTGCTCAATGGACATCCCCAGCCCAGACCCGTTGCCTTCGCCTTTGCCAGGGGAGGAAGAGAAACCTCTGGCCTTACCTTCTCCTGTTCCCCGGGGCCGCCGAGGCCGGCGTCCCGGTGGGGCCACCTCCTCGAATCAGACGCTCAAGGCCACCCTCCCTCGCAAGCGGGGCCGCCCCCCCAAGTCAGGGCAGGAGCCCCCGCTGGCACAGGGGGTGACAGCCCCTGTGGGCAGCGGCGGTGGCAGCGACCTCCTGTTGATCGATGATCAGGGTGTACCCTATACCGTCTCTGAGGGGTCAGCGGCAGGTTTGCCTGAGGGCTCTGGCCCTAAGAAGGCCCCACACTTCTGCCCTGTGTGCCTGCGGGCCTTCCCCTACCTCTCCGACCTGGAACGCCACAGCATCTCACACTCAGAGCTGAAGCCGCATGAGTGCAAGGATTGCGGCAAGACCTTCAAGAGGTCCAGCCACCTCCGGCGGCACTGCAACATCCATGCCGGCCTGCGGCCTTTCCGCTGCCCACTCTGCCCCCGCCGCTTCCGTGAGGCGGGCGAGCTGGCCCACCACCACCGTGTCCACTCTGGGGAGCGCCCCTACCAGTGCCCTGTCTGCCGGCTGCGCTTCACGGAGGCCAACACGCTCCGGCGCCATGCCAAGCGCAAGCACCCCGAGGCCATGGGGGTGCCCCTGTGTTCCCCGGACCCAGGGCCTGAACCACCGTGGGACGAGGAGGGCATTCCAGCTACAACAGGGGCTGAGGAGGAGGAGGTGGAGGAGCTGGAGGAGAAAGAGCTGGCTTGATCCTGGGCCATGGCTCCCCAGGTCAGGTTTACAGCTGGGAGTTCAGCTGGTGCTGAGCCCGGGCAGGAGAGCTGGGCCCCCCTCATACCTGGTGGTCCTCTCATTGTGGGAGGGGGTTGAGGGTGAGGACCTGAACTCTTGGGTCCTGCTGCCTTCTGCCACCCTCCCCCGGACTGACAGGCCCCTGGAGGTAGGGGCCTTGGAAATAAATCTCTGCCTACTGGCTTCCTGTGTGTATTCAGTGATGCTACCAGGGCTGGCCCTTCCTTCAAATGCCCTCCTGTCCCTATGTCACCCTGATGGGAGTGCATGGAGTTTGGAGGAACCCTCATCTTATGTGCCTTGTTATCACGCCTGCGCTGAAAACTGGCTTGCGGGAAGCCTTTGCCCCCTCCCTCATCTCCAGCGGACCTCACGTACTCCATGTAAATATCCACTCTAAAACACTGAAACCTCTGTGAAACATGACTCTAGGTCCCCTTGCCCCATTCCAGCCAGATTCTTGGAAGTGCACTCACCACTTTGCCCCATCTCTTTATCCTGACACTAAGAAAAACTGAGGTGAGGGTTGTGGGCAGAACCGATAACTTGGGTAAGGCGTGGGTAGAAGGTGAGAGGAGAGGCATAGGTGAGAGGTGTAGCCGGGAGGGGCGGGGCTAAGGAAGTAGGGGGCGGGGCGGGGCCGGAGAGGCGAAGCATAGGGAAAGTGCTGCGAACAAGGTGGGGTGACATTGGTTTAGCGGTGGGCAGGTAGAAGGTATAGATTTAAAAGGAACGAAAAGGGTTTATCTGAGAGGAGAGCAAGATGTTAGGAGAGGCGGGAACTGTTAAAGATGCGGAGAGGTGGGCATGATGTTCAGACCGAGGGGGTGCCTAGGATCGGGGTACCTAGGAAGGGGTAAGGAAAGGAAACCCTTGAGACAGGGCAGTTAGTAGGGATGGGCGGGGCTAACGCAAGGGGTTTGGTGCAGCCTAAAAACGTCTGAGAAGCACGGCTTAAAAGAAAGAGCTGGGACTGTGGGAGGGGCTGAGGAGGGAGAGGTGGAATTCTTGGGGACTCGGAGGTGGGGAAGAACAGGAGAAAGCCCTAGCGTACTGGGGCGAGGAGGACGGATTTTGAGGCAATGGGCGGGGCTTCAGTAATTAAGCCAGGAAAATGGGCGTGAATCCGGGAGGGGGCGGGGCTTAAGTGCGAGACTTATGAGCGGGGCGTGGTCTAACCGGATGTCCGGATCGTGTGGGCGGTGCCCTAGGAGGCGGGCGCTCAGAGCGCAGGCGCACGTTGCTCAGCTCGGCTACCGGAAGCGGTTTAGGCTTTCCCCGTCCGCGTCTCCGAGCCAGCGCGCAGGCGCAGTTTCTTTTCCCGGTCGCCAAGGCCGCCCCCTCTTTCCGCTCCTCCACGCCGGCGCCTCGGAGACGGGCGCGACTTCCGCTTCCGGGCGGGCGGGCGGGCAGGCAGGCGGCGCGGGGCTGCCGGGGAGGGGGAGGGGGCGGCACTTCCGGTCGGGCCCTCGGGTCTCCCCGGAGCCGCGGCGTCTCCTCCGCCTCCTCGGCCTCCTCCCGGCGGAGACCCCTGCGCCGGTGAGTGACGGGGCGCGTGGCCCGGGGGCCTGGGGGAAACGGGGGTGGGGGGTCCCGCCTTGGCCCACTCGTCCCCAGAACGTCCCTGTCAGTACCTCTCTC